GTTCACATATCCTCAATTCGTATCATAACATAACATAACATGTATGGGTATCTTGGGAAAAACTTACTTGAGCTCGGCCGATTGCACGCATCACACTTCTTGCTCGTTATCAAAAACTGTTTATTTTAATTTTTTTGAAATTTATTTCCTTATAAAAATCCTTCAAACCCTCGATTTGAGTCTAGCACCCCCGAAGGTGTGTCCGAATCCCTCAAGTCAAGGCTTTAATACCAACTTGTAACATCCAAAAATTTAAGATCAACAATTTCATTTTTAAATAAGTTGTTATAAAAACCAATAATTTAAAGACATTCATAATATCATCCCATGTCAAAACCAGTATGTCAATAATCAAAAACATGTCATCATAAATCAATATCAGAGTATAATCCCAAAGATCTCATGTAAAGAAAAAAAAGTGTGATGCGTTGCGATCCTGGTGGCTCCTTTCCTTTTGAAAAAGAAGTACCTAAAATCAAAACTGAAAACCGTAAGTACGAAGTTTAGTGAGTTCCCCCATCATACCACACACCATACAATAACATATTGTCAGGCATACCGGGGTGCCCGACCTACCCCTTTCAGGCAAATCTGGGTGCCCGACCTACCCTGCTGAGCATACCGGGGTGCTCAACCTACCCTTGTTAGGCATACCGGGGTGCCCAACCTACCCCTTTCAGATATACAAGGGTGTCCGACCTACCCCTATCAAGCATATTTGGGTGCCCGACCTACCCTCTGGTTTATCTCAACTGGTTTCGGGGACTATTTCACCCCCTACACTACCACATAATATTATATCATGAACATACTGTTAGGCACGCATGGATACTGTCTACCCCTTCAGTATCTTTCAACCGGTATCCGGGGACTATTTCACCCATACTACTACTAACGCATATATCATAGCATCCTAGCACATAAAGCATATCAAATAGTGACAAACCACCCAATTATCACAAAGACAATCATCTCAAACATAATCACCTACTGTTTAGGGTTAGCGGGAGGGTGACGGGTTTATATACTCGGTCCCCATGAAAATTCTTTCCATAATGACAAGATCAGTCCTTCCTTTCTCTTTTTCTTTCAAACTAAGTCCATAAGATACCCTTTCTATTAGTGACTTCGGAAATCCCTTTCAAGTACAATCCGTAATTTACCCAACAACCCTCAGTTCTCAAAATGGTTTTTGCAATCCGCTAAGTTCTAATATATGAAACAGGAAAGCCAAGACTATCTCACGGAATTACTAATAATTAATAAACTATAAATTAAATACATATAAGAATAATAGGTGGATTTATTTTAGGTTAAAATTTAATTAAAAAAATATTTGTTAGATTCATTTTTAGAGTTTTTGAACCAAACTTATTAGATAAAAATATTTAATATTTATATTAAAGCAATTTGGTTTTTTAATACAGTAATTTTTAATATAAATCATCTATGTGATCTTTGTTTATTTAATAAACATGGTGTTACAGGGGAAGAAGAGGTTGTCGAGTGGAGAAGAAGAAGGGGAAGAGAGAGGAATAACTCAGCATAAACCCACCGAGTTTGGCCACCGAACTCGACATGCCGATTTTGGCCACCAAACTCGGCATGCCGAGTTCATGGCACAGTGTTTACCGAGTCTAGGTAGGATTTGCCGAAGGCTGCCGACCCCACTCTGTCGAGTCTAAAAGTAAACATACATACCTCTAAGAATATAGGAGTACTAAACCTAGTTAAGAATCAGCGGACACTTGTTTTCCCTTGTTCAAACTCTAGTTTCTCCTCCACCTATATTTACATTTAAGAAGCATTAAAATAGGTTTCAGTATGATATTAATGAATTATTATGCATACAAAATACTTATTTGGTATTTTTTTAACCCCAAACTTATACATTGGATAATTACTTTTATGTTGTTTGACCAAAAAAGGCATACTTCTTTCATCTCCTTCTTTTGGGATGCTTCTGATTTGATCTCCAAGCAATACAAAATAAAGTGCAACCTAAAAAGGGCATGATGATGAATAAAATAAATTAAATGTATGTCTGAAAGGTATTGTATACATAAAATCTATTTCTTTTTCTACACTAAACAGTTTGAACGTGACTAAATGATGATTTTACCCTTAACTACTAACAAAATTAATTCACAATGTTCATCACTTTTACCAATTAAGTCATTCTATCCAATTTGACAATTAAAATGACTTGTAATATTTTGTAACAAATGTAACCACAGTTCATAATCGTCCAGCATGGACAATTAAAATTACTTGTAATATCTTGGAAACGATCCACCCCACCATCATTGTCCCGCCTACCAATAAAACCCTAATGATTTAAAATGCCACTGCTAGTGGAGTGGCGAGTCCAGAACAAAAAATCATGTGGTTCCCTATTTAAGTGAAACCAAGAAAAATAAAATAGTTAAAATTACTAGTTGTGGGTTGGGTCATATGTAGTGTTGTAAAACTCGGATAACTCGGCTGAGTACTCGCAAACTACTCGAACTCAACCTTCAACTAGGTGAGTTTTGCCTACTTAGCCAAGAAAATCACAAATCTTTCCGACTCGGACTGATTTAACCTAAAAATGATCTTTTTTGAACTAGATCAAGGTTAAACCAAAAACCACATATCATTATTGCTTAAACAATCCTTAATAAACCTTTCCATCACCCTTCTTTTTTATAAGTAACAAAAACCACATAGGTTTTACAACAGCTGGTGTAGGTTAGGTATATATAAACTTATAAATCAATTAACCAGATCATTAAAATTGACTACTCATTTTGATCCAACATTAAAAGGTATGTCTTAAAAAATTCAAGGTGGTTCCTAAATTTTCTTTCAACACAACTTATTATAAAATTTAAAAAGTAAGGTGGGTCATGGGATCCACCTACAATGCATGTACACTCGCCCTTGGCCACTGCTATCCACCCACCACCCCACCCTTTCCTATTATTCTTTATCAGGGTTCATCGTCGGCATCTTAATCTTCGATCACCACCATCGCTTTTACACAGTTGCGTCTTATTGAACAATAAGAGGAAATTAGTACATCTGATTGCATGTGTGTGTGTGTGTGTTGAATTTATCAATCAAATAATTGCACCCAAAAATCACAAGGAACTCACCCCGGAAATCGCAC